TTAGGGTTGAATCAGAAGAAAATACTATAGGCTCAAAAGGGGATACAGGGATATATTTCTCCTGTTGTGAAGGGATAAAGAAGGAAGCCGTTCATCATTCATACATGTAAGTCTTCACAGAAGAGGTATCCCCAGGGGGATAGATTTTCAGGATTAATTCTTATTCACATAGAAACAGTGTGGTTAATATGTGATAAAATTATTTCGAATGATTTTTTTTTGTTCCCCAGATGTCTCAATGTTCAGGCTATCTGTGAAATGCCCCAATTTAAAAGAATGCTCCTGTTCAAATGAACAACTCAATGCCTTGGATTTTAATGGTGTAAAAATGTCAATTTTGAGTCTAAAAAGACAATGGTGTGATCTTATTGACTCAAAGAAAGGTGTGGGTGTATCAAAAAGATAAAGGTAATGTTCAAGAATTTCAATGGGAGGTATGTCAAAATTTGGTCTTTTTGGTAATGACCATGAGTTATTTTGGGTAAAGAATCAATGTATTTTGTTTTAGGTTTGAGATAGGATAAGAAAGGTCTAACATTGCCATATGTCAAAAATCTATAATTCTTGAAGAATTAAAAGAATCCTTAATTCATTTAATATTCGAAGAACTAAAGATTAGAATTTGTTCAATTGCTCCACCTTAGAAAGTAGCATAAATTCAATCATTTAAAAGATTAAGCAAACGATGAAAGATTAGAGACGTGTTTAAACAAAACAATCCTCTAAGTGCAAATGGTATATGTCATGCCCCCTTCTTCGGCCGTTTATGCCCCTGAATCCATCAGGTTTTGGATCTTGCGCTTCAGCGCCTTATAGTTCTCAGAGGAATGTTTGGAGCATCCTATGTGGCAACTGCAAACAGCTTTAACATCGTAGCCCTTAGGATATATGGACTCTTTTCTCATATCATCCTGGCAGACTTAGTCATACAACAAGCTGATCGGGCTCTCATTGTACTGATTTTAGTTTTTTGTTGTTGTTTCACTTGCTTCTATGTGGTGTCATGTGGTTAAGACCACTTCATAGAATCCTCCATGAAGAAATTTCATGTTTATGAAAATGCTTAAACATAAAATGAAGATGCAAAATGCAAAATGAAAAAAATGCATGAATTGTTCGAGGCATTGATCCAAAAATGTGTCTGTTATTAGAAATAATCCTTATTGGGGACAAAAGTGTTTTATCTTTTAAGAGATAAAAAATATCCTGACAGCTTCTGACATGTTGACTAGTCTTCCGCCTTCATCCGTCACCGGTTGAATAACCTGTCGAACCACTATGGCTTCTCTGGATGAACCGTGCAAATGATGAGTTGTTTGCCCAAAAAAAAGTCTCGAAGGACTGCACCTCCAGCATTTATCTCTTGTTGAGCATGTTCCGAACGAATATGTCATTGGAGCCCTTAATTGATAGGAACTATGTGAAGTCCATTTGTCTATTTCTTGAATTCGTCGGCAATGGTCTCCAATTTCAGTTATCATTTTTCCATTGTCGTCTTTGAAGTGAGTGGTCTTCATCTTGCCCCTGCAACTTCTGCCAGTCAGTTCTTCAAAGATAGACTTTCATTATGCTTAATGTAGACCCGGTTCATTGAGTCCTTTATAATGCGGTATAATGATGTACTCTTCAATTGCGGGCACCACATCTTCTGGATTAAATATGACACATAGTCTCCTTGTAAACTGTCCTCTGCATTTTCATCTCTTGTATTACAACCCCTTTGTCCATTAATGCAGATATTCATGTTTAGCAACACACTTTTGGTGGATCAACACCTCTTTTAAATGATGCAAGTGATGAAAATAAAATGAAAGAGAAAAAAAAAGAAATAGTGAGGTAAAAATAATAAAAAATAATCATGAAAAATAAAAGTCCTACCCCACATGATATCTACCCGAACATTCTTAATATTCCTACTCGGACATGATTTCTATCCCGCATGCTAATTTCAAACAAATCCTAACCGCATATTTGTCTAGTCCGCGTGCTTTGAATAGAAAATAAAGCAGGAAACAAAACAACCTAGGGTTTGGAATGAGGTTTTGGGGTGGGCTCTAATTCCCTGTACTCTCCCGGTTTAGGTTCTAAAAAGGTACTCGAGTTCTCCTTGCTGGTGCCTCCTTGGGTTTGCCAGACCCTTAGTCCTAAGCACATTACAAGTTTATGTGGACTAAGTTAAACTCGAGAGGAAACATTCCCTTATGCCCATACGGAGAATAAATTCACATGAAGACATAAGGTATATGAATCCCGAAGGCTACTTGCTAGGCCCGCACGGTGAATAAATTCACACGAAGGCGTCACTTTCACCCCCACTTAAAAGGGTTTGAAACTCGGGTATAGAGCCTAATTTTTTTTCTTCCAAAAATCTGAAATCATTGAAAAAACATTAGTACAACTATTTTATTTGAAAAAAAAAATAATCAAAGATAAATAATTGGAATCGAATAAATAAATTTAAATTTAATTTTTGCTAAAAAAAAGACAACCAAAAATTAATTTCGGCCTGACTCACTTACATGTCCCCAGCGGAGTCTCCAAGCTGTCGTAACCGTCTTTCGGTTGGGCCCCGGAGTTGGGCTTCGATTTAAAAAATGTGGATTGGAGTCGCCATCGATCATTTATTTTATGAAAAGTGGGTTGATCGGATACCTTATTTATTATCTGATCTGCGTCTTACCAGAGATATGTCGGATTCAGGAGTCAGTTACAGTCAAGGAAGGATTAGCACCCTTGAACCGCCCTTTCGGTACCAATTAATTTGTTGGTTGTCTTTATTTGAGAAAATTGAAAATTAAAATTAAAATTAAAATTATCCGATTCAAATTACTCACCCTTGATTGGTTGAAAAAATATCCCTAAAGTCAAAAATATTATTAGATTGTATAATAAAAATAAATATAAAAAGAGAAAAAAGAGAAAAATATTAATATAATAATAAAATAAAATAAAATAAAATAGATACCAAAGAAAATAAAAGTTAGTAAAAGAGTAAAATAAAAAAAAGGACCAAAATGAATGATATTGAAAGATGACATGGCTAAATCATGGATTAATCCTTAGAAAATCCAAAACAGGGTGATGGGTATGCAAATTCCAGTTCTGCTTTTTCTTAGTATGGGTTTGGTACGAATATCCAAGTAAAATCCTTCCATTGGAACAAAAATAGTATAAGCATCATTCAGAGGTAATATTGAACTAACCATAAATATTTAAAATAGATAGAGTTATAAAATCAATCAAGGAACTTGCATCGGGCGCTTATTTCCATTGCTCAGTGCTGAGCTAAACTGGGTCAACACAAAAGAAGACCAACTCTTCTTATGTTTTTTTTTCAAATACCCCTATATTAGCTCGTGGGTCCTATATGAAATGCAATTTAAAGGGTTTTTACCTAGAAACATTATTTTCTGCAGTAGCCACATTTCGAACTTCAACACGAGAAAGAAGAAAGAAAAACTTGGTCATTTTACCTTGAGTATGTGAGTTTGAACCGTTGGATCGAGCTATGGACGGAGTATGTCATTCCTCGTGTTGGGCGTGCTTTGAATCTTCGGATTTTCAAGAATAGTTTTCGATCATTGTGAATCCAAACGGTAAGTTTTCGGGTTACCCTTTGTTTCTTCTTCGCCTCTTCGCTTTCCTGTGTATTTTCGTATGTATTTATTTGCCTTACTTCAAATCCCACGTCGTATATCCCGTATGTAACCTCCCTGCTCTTATGATTTCTCTACCGTTTTTCTCAATGATTTTCTAATCGAATTTTTACAGAGAAAAAAAAGGATTTCGAATGCTCTGAATATTTTTGGGATTTTGCTCGTATATTTCTTGTATTTCCACTGCAAAATCGTGTACAACCCTCTTGCAGTGTGTTTGATTACCTGTATTTATAGTCTAAGAATACTAGCCTTAATCCCGACTTCTTAGCATTTTACTTGGACTAAATCATTTCTTGGTTGGTTGTGAATGAATCCCTCTGAGTCACATCGTTGATGGTTGTTTGATGTTGAGGAGTTCACGGCGCCGAGAAAATCGGCGTGAAGATTGGATGCGTGGGTGAGGAAGATTGGATGTGTTCATTATTGTAATATTTTATTATTGTATTCTGGGGTGTGTGAGCTAACATTGAACAAACTATTTGCATTATGAGGATTTTATATTTGTTTGCTAATTATATTTTTCTTTGGGAAGGAGCGAACTTAGGATTTTAGGTATAAATTTTGAGAGATATTGTAAAGCCACATATTATCTTTAAAGGTGGAATTAAATTTGTGAATTTGTGAAATATTTTACTAAAATACTAAATGTAGATTTAGATTTAAAGTCGAACCACTTTAAATTACCTGAGTTAAATTCTCAGCAAAAAAAACTTTCACTAAACTTTCAAGAGTCAATTCATTTCATTTCAATCACATTCAATGATAGATTGATTCAAAAAAAATCTATAATTTAATGATCAAAATAAGGCAAAACTTAAATTCAACTACTCAGCTTTTCTATAATTTTTTTCTTTTCCTTTTAGTTAATATTTCATATTCCACTTTTTCAACCATTTTCACTTTTGGATAAATAAAGGAAAAAACTCCCCCACTATCGACGATGATTAGTTCAAGTGATAAGTAATTTAATATCACTTAAGTAAGTTTCGAGTTCGAGGTCTTGTGTATGAAGAAAATATCCGTTAGGAGACTCACCTATTAAAGCCAGGTATGCAACACGAATCGATACGGATTAATCAAGACGAAACCTTAAAACCACAATATATTATATAAAAACTTTTACTTTACTTTTTTTACTTCTGTAGATAATATTATTTTGATAACTTAATAAAATAATATCTCGATTACAAGAATATTAACTTGTTATAAGGATTATTGATTATATGTTTTATTTTTAACTTAAATTACTAAAATTTACATATTTCTTATACACAATGTGATTCGAACCCAAACCTCATGATATTTATTCTCCTTTTATCATTCGTGTCATTTCAGTTTTTTGTGTTTTATGTTCCTTCACTTGCAAAAAAACTATGGCGTCGGTTACTTTCCTTCACCTTCACGACCCAGAGGATGACGTCGTTTGCGACAACCACCACCGCTACCAGACCCCGATCTTTGATTCCCACCCTTACTGGTCTCCTGATTTCCATTTCGCTGATCTCCCTCACCGGACGGCGACGTTTCACTCCCGGATTCCTTCACTATCAAATTCCCCGATCTCTTCGATCGCCGTGAGAACCAAGTCGACTTCGTCATCGATCTCTTCCACCAACGCGTCGAACAGTCTCAGGTTTGTCCGTTAATGTCCTCGATAACAACAATTGCAGTTCTGGTAATGGTATTAGCAATAATGATGCCGTTGATTTGGTTTATGATGCTTTGAGATATTCGGGTTTTGGTGTTATGGAGGAGAACCATGAGCTGGATTTAGGGTTATCGTTAGGGTTTGATTCGATGGATCGTCATGAGCGTGATGTTGAGATTGATATTGGTGGTGGCGAATATGACGACCTCCAGTTCTTTATGGAAAGGAGGGTTTCTGGGCAGACTGCGAGTGATGCGGCTTCCACTTTTAGTGGTGTTGAAAGGTTTGAGGATAGCATTCGGATTGTTGGGCTTAGGTCCGATTCAGAGGACGATGAGGATAATGAGAATGATAATCGGGCGCTAACAATTGATTTGAATTCTGGGGATGATTATGGAATTGATGATCATGTTAATGATTGTTATAATGTTGATGCTGTTGATGACGTGAGTGTTAGTATTCCGCTTTTCTGGGATTCGCTTCAATTGGAGGATCGTGGGGAGACTGTTGAAGATTTCGAGTGGGAGGAAGTGGATGGTAGGATTGATGAGAGGGATGTTTTAAGCGTGTTTGTTGATGGCGATGATGATGTGAATTCGGTTTCACTTTCCATTTCCCCTATGGTAGCACCTGAAGATGTGGTTAGTTTGGAGAGGGAAGCTGCGTTGGAGACTCTGGAGTGGGAGGTTCTGTTGAATGCTAATAACTTGGAAACGGCCGCAGAAATGGATGAAAATGCTGAGCCATTTTTTGCTGATCTTCATGACTATATTGATTCTGCAGAATATGAAATGCTGTTCGGTCAGTTTGCTGAGAATGAGAATGTGTTTATCAGGAAGCCTCCGGCTTCAAAATCTGTAGTTGAGAATCTTCCTTCTGTTGTTGTGACTCAGGAGGATGTGGTGAATAGTAATGCACTTTGTGCAGTTTGTAAGGATGAAGTTAACCTTGGTGAAAAAATGAAGCAGCTGCCATGCACTCATCGCTATCACAGAGATTGTATTGTACCCTGGCTGGGAATAAGGAATACCTGCCCTGTTTGCCGTCATGAGTTGCCAACAGATGATGCTGACTATGAAAGGAGAAAGTCCGTAAGAGCTGGGCGTGCACTTTCAGGGTAATTTATGATCTTCTGTGTTTTTCATGCTCTGTTTGGCATTAGGTTGCTAAGAATGTAGTTATTGTTTTTGGAAAGTATCAATATCGATATTTAGGATAATGTATTCTTCACAATTTTATGAGTATTTAATATGTTCTTTTTTAATCCTTTTTGTGGTATAAGAATGTATTCAATGACTCAATTCTACTTTGAGGGTTATTTTCGTTGAAATAATTATCCATCTTCAATCCTGTTTATTCAATCGTAAATTTTTTATTGTAGTTTTCTTGTCTGTTTAGCGATATTATTTAGCTTCAGTCTTATATTATCCTATCTCGAATGCTTGATTATTTAAGAATTTGTGATTCTGTTTTATTTCTTAACATTTTAGCTATTATTCCCTATATTTTTGCTAATACCATAGTTTAGAGGAAAAGTTATAATCTGGATAGCTATGTTCATGAATCAGAAATGGATCTTGTTAATTTACTCAAGTTTGCTGGAGTAGGTCCGATTATTTTTGTAGGATTGTAGGAGATCAGCTGAAGAATTGCTTGGCTTGTTCTTAGTTAGTCTGTCTTACATGATTGTTGAACTCATTATAATGCTTAAACTGTTAAATAAGATTTTCTGATGAAGGCAGTAAGTTATTTTCTGATGAAGGCAGTAAGTTCTTTATTCAAAGAAAAAATTCATCTTACAGAAGAGGATACATAGGATTTTTATACACATGAATTAGAGACCTAGATAAGATAGGAGTCATATTTTCTACAAATTAGGAGATAATTTTAGAGATAAGTTAGGACTCAGAGTTTGACTCAAACACTACTTACACACCCCCTCAAGCTGGGGAGTAAATATTGTAAAGACCCAGCTTGGATGTAATTTCGTCAAAAGGTAATCCTTGGAAGTGCCTTGGTCAATACATCAGCTAGTTGGTTTTGTGAATAGACTTAGTTTAGTTTCACAGTTCCGCCATTTACTTTTTATCCAATGAAATGTTTGTCGATCTCCACATGTTTTGATCTGTCGTGGTGCACCGGATTCTTTGCAATGCTTATCACAAATTTGCTATCACTCTGAAGTTCAAAATAGTTGTTGTCGCACATATCTAGTTCAGTTAAGAGTCTTTGTAGCCAAATTTCTTCACACATCCCAAGTGCTATCGCCCTATATTCTGCTTCTGCACTGCTCTTAGAGACTATTGATTGTTTCTTGCTTCTCCATGTCACTAGGTTTCCCCACACAAATGAGTAATATCTCGTGGTTGACCTTCTATCTGTTACCTCTCCAGCCCAGCTTGAATCTGAGAAGATTTTAACTTTTCTGTCTTCATGTTTTCTAAAAATCAACCCATGTCCTGGTGTCATCTTTCGATATCTTAAGATTATATTAACTACCTCCAGATGTTCTTCTCTGGGATCATTCATGTATTGACTAACAATGTCAACAGGAAAAGCAATGTCAGGTCTAGTTAGAGATAGATAAATGAGTTTACCAAATTCATGTATTGACGATGCTAACAGGAAAAGCAATGTCAGGTCTTTGATAATGTTCCTTGTTTATTGGGTTTCCATCTTTACTCAATTTCAAGTTAACTTCCATAGGAGTTTCCGAGGGCTTACAATTAGTCATTCCAGTTTCAGAAAGTAAGTATAGAATATACTTTCTTTGATTTATGACAATTCCTTCTTGTGATCTCGCTACCTCCATGCTTAGGAAATATCTCAGAGTTCCCAAATTTTTGGTTTTAAATCCCTTTGCTAATAATGTCTTCAACTTTTCGATTTCTACTAATCACCCGTGATGATGATATCATCAACGTAGACAATTAAATTTGAAGCGTTACATTAAATAGTATCAAAGCTTAGTCTATGTTACTAACAATCTATTATAACATATTGTTTACATCATAGATTATACACTAACTGTAAACTTTTAGACAATATAACTTAATAATTTTTTTTTGGAAAAAATATTTTTTTAAATAGTTACGATTGGGAAAAAGGGTTTTCAAATACAATGCCACGAAATATTTTCATAAGTATTTTCTGTAAAACTTTAAAATTTTAGTATCGATTAACTTTAGCTTCTTTGTTAATACTTTAACTATAAGACCACAATTATACCAAGTATAAATTGAGTAGACAATCATGAGTATGCGAAACCTTGGTGTAACATGAGTAGATTATAAATTATCCCTAATCTTACTTAAGGGTGTTTAATGAGTTGGGCAACTCGTGAGCAGTTTGAATTTGACTCGGTCAAAACTCGATTAAAGTTCGAATTGGATTGACTTGACTCGAGACCTAAATGAGTTGAGTCGAGCAGAGTCTAATTCGACTTGATAAGTTTGTGAGAAGGTTGTTATTTTTTTTTTATAATTTTTATAACTTTGTAGTTTGGTGATTGTAAGTAAACAATGAATGGAGTGAAGAGATGTTGATTTCTTTATTTTTTGGATTGATTATGTATTGTTAATTTTTTTTTCAAAAATGTTTTTAATATGTTGATTTGATTTATTTGTGTATTGTCACTTTGGAGTTTAGACTTTGAAATTGATTCATACGCTCTTTTAATATTCTTTTGTTAAATTTGTTAATTTATGTTTATATTAAGTTCTGTATAGTACTAGTAGATTTTACCTATAGTTACAAAAATAATTTAAAAATTTTAGTGAACTTAACGAGCAACCAGTCAAGCAACGAATAACGAGCTAAATGAGCAGGGAGTCGAGAAAAATTTTAACGAGCTTAAAAAGTAATAAGTTGAGTCAACCAACAAAATTTTTTAACGAAAATGAATCGAACACTGCCTAACTCACGACTGACTCACTCGATAACCCCTAATCTTACTTATTGGGCTAACGAAAGAATCTACCTCATTTATACAAGACATGGGTTCATATATTGGTTTTTGCATTATTTTTTATCTTGTCTAAATGATGATTACAACGAGAACTGGCAAATCAACAATGAAACAGCTGAAATCACATGTCAGGTGAATACAGTATTTCACTCTACGAAGTTCTTGCTCGTGTTCATGGTGTGAAGATTGTTTCAAAAATTAATAATATAATGTCCACCATTATTATTACATTAGCTTCAAGTGTTGTATCTTTCTTTTAAAAAAATTTAACGGAGAGGGAGGTTTGCGACTAAAGTTCCAAATATTTAACTTTTTGTATTAAAAATAGATTAAAAATATTTATTTTTAAAAAGTATAAATTTTTAACAATGTCATTTCTAAAACTTTTCAAATTAGTCATTCCATTGTAAAAAAAGGGTGAAATTGAAAAATCAATGAAATATTGAGGATTAAATTTTCTATTATACCTCGAGAATATGAATTATAAAAAAGACTTATTTGAAAAAAAAATTAAATATTGAGGTTGAAATTATAAGCAAAAAATTAAGGGCACAATTGAAAAATCAATTAAACATTAAGGATTAGTTATGCTACTATACCCTGAGGATATAGAAAATAAAAGGACTTATTTGAAAATTTTTAAAACAATGAGGTTTTCAATGTAAAAAATGAAGGCGAAATTGAAAATAATGCACTTTTTAGGACTAATCATGCTATTATACCTTAAGTAAAATGTAATTTTAGGAAAAATTGCCACACGTCAATAATTTATTAGAATTAATTTCTTTACTTTTTAAAAATTAAATATTTCATTTTCATGTATTTGTAAATATTAAGAAAGCAATTAAAAACTATTAAGAAATTAATATATATAATTCTCCGACTTTCGAGAATTGAAATTTATTTTCTGTTATTTAATTTTAAGTTGAGAATTATATATATTAAAGTGGAACAGAATTTGAAAATATTGACGAAGAAAGAAATCATGTTTAATTATTATAAATGACTAAATTGTGAACCTTAAAAAAATTAGAAGTTGGAGACCCATTCACTAAGGGATTTAAATCCTAATTTTATATGGTAATTAAAAATGTAAATGGCGAGTCACCTTGATCAGGTATCATTGTACATTTCAATAGTAATTTTCCTTAATTAAGAAAATGAGTATAAATTGATATATTGGGAAGGGTACCCTACGGTTGGGAAAATAGGAAAAAGAAAGTATTTTTGGGGTCTTATTCAACCTTTGTTCTCCATCATTGTCAACACTGAAGTTTCTAAAGAGATGTACATGGTCTTTTTCTTTCAATTTTAGCCACCGTAGATTAATTTCAAGTTTAAATTTGAGTGTTGCTCGCCTAAATCTTCAAATTTATGAGGATTTGGTTAAATATTCAGTGATTGTAGTTGCCTTGGAGTCTGATGCCAAATATATTAATTGGATTTAATTTCTAGTGATATTTTTGTACATAAGGTTAAATTCATGTTTGGCTCAATTACAGCAATATTGGATGGAAAATGTATGCCAATTGCTCGTATGTGTGGTGAAATTATAATTTTGCCCTTGTATGCTTAAATTAATAAATTTGATATTATGAAAGCATTGTTGGTTCTTAATTGCTTACGTATGATGTATGATATGTTATGTTGCATGTAGCAAGCACGATTGTTTGCTTACCTTCTTGCTCAATCGCTTAGAATGCATGTTTAGGAGTCGGTACGTGTTTCGAGTCATTTCAGTGGCTAATGCGACATTTGATATCTAGGTCGGTCGTCGTGGCCGGGTATTGAGTGTTTTATGGATCGGATTAGATTAGGGTGTTATATGAATCAAATATCATGTCAGAATAATTTGTTTTTTGTGCTAACCCTAGTAAGTTGGAAAATTCATTTTCTTTTGTCTTATTATTAGTTATAGAAACACTACAGCAAAACTGTACATTTGCGGTATTTTTTTACCTATAGCGGCGTTTTTAAGCGCCGCAAAAAACACATGCGGCGCTATGACAAATGCCACAAAAAGCGCCGCTGCAAATAGCGTCGCTAAAGTTCGCGGCGTTTGGTAACAAAAAACGCCGCAATAGGTAACGATATACAAACGCCGCAATAGGTGTTGATATTTGACGGTATTTTTCCAACAAACGCCGCAATAGGTGTTGAGATTTAGCGGCGTTTTCCCACAAACGCCGCAATAGGTCTTGAGATTTAGCGGCATTTTTCCCACAAACACCGCAAAAGATCTGGTATATAGTGGCGTTTTTAGAACAAACGCCGCAAAATGTCATATCTATAGCGGCGTTTTAAGATACAAACGCCGCTAATTACCTCTCTATAGCTAAAAGAAATTGATTTTGCAAATTAAAACTAATTTGTCAAATGGTGTTTTCTACTCTTTTATTACCCAAATTTAACCTGTAGCATTTTCCAATAAACTTGACATCCATAACAACAAACTTAAAATCCATAACAAGAAAAATGAAATCCATAATAATAAATCAAAGTTTACATTAACGTAAAATATAATGTAGTTCAACATTATTAACTATAATAAACAATAATATCTAAGATATTTTGTTTCTAATCTTACACATTCTTCAAAACTCTTATTGCCACTGATTCAGAAATTCATATGGAGATGGCATACTGCTCTTAGAATTTTGATGTTAGAAAAAAACACTGTAAAGAAGCTTCAAGAGAATCACATGCTGTTAGGACATTGGACCTGAAAAGGAAAAGAAAACAATAATGCAAAATCTGAGCAACTGATAATAAAATGGATCAGACTATTTAAAGCTTAAACAAGAAATTCTGTCTGCATACGGCAAAGAATATCTCCAAAGATACCTTCTAACTATGGTAACTTCAACTTAGAGCACTGCACCAGCCTTTCCAGCAATAGGAGCCTCCTGGAAAAGAGTATACACCTTTAAATCACAACCTCAGATCCATGAAATTTGATAGGGAAACAACTAATTAAGCCCTAACAGGTTCAATATTTGTCTTGTCATTTACCTGTGCTAAAGAACTTGACGGAGGATTAGAAAACCTGGAATGACCAGGAAAAAAGTCAAATTTCAATCTCAACATACAGAAACCTTTTTCAATAAAGACTTCTTTAGGCATTATATATATCTAACAATGTAGGAAAGGGTGCTTTAGCACTGGAACATACCTGATCGCCCTAGCTTTTCTCTTTTCTCCTTCCACTGTATCAGGTTTGGCATATGGTGCAAATCGGGCTAGTCGAGCTTTTTTCTTCTCTTCCTCATCAACAGCTGTAGAGGGTACAGCAAGCCCAAATCTGGTAACCAATGAAAAGAATATATAAATCAATTAAGTGCAACTCTGAGCAATACCATGACCGGGTAAAGGTGATATGGACAAAAACCTCTCTGCTCTAGCCTTCCTCTTCACCTCCTCAGATTGCTTTGATGTTTCTGATCCCTTTGAGTCGGCTGTGCCAAACCTGTAAAATTTGTCCACAAATCAACAAACATAAAGAAAACTCGTGAAATGGGATTCAACTTCCACAACTACAGTTACTAGACCTTTAACGTATAATGAAATTCCTTCCAATACACATAAAATTGAGCCAAATAGGTAACTATGTGAGATTATAAACGCGGGCTATCAAGGCAACTATGTAATATTATAAAGGAGTTACACTAATTTCTAAAGAACCAACGGAAAAAAATGATTAAGAGACAATAAATTTGAAAATTAAGAGGTTCTAAGAGATTCTATACAATCTAAACAATGAACGATTTCATGAATATTAATCTAGGCTTCTCAACGCACCAACAATCAACAATCGCATCCAAAGAAAATTTATAAGAATATAAATTTTAGAAACAAAATAAAACTTCATCTTCTCTTCTCTTCAGAAATGCTCAACAACAAGGTATAAAAAACCAAAAGGAAAACCCTAAATAACACCTAAAATGAAAAAGGCAAAATAGAATTTACCTCTCGGCCCTAGAATTACACATTCTTTAAAAGAGTGATCCTGGATTAGTGGCAAACAGAAGATATAAAAATTGCTTCTTTCCACAACCCATAAATCAAAGTTTCGAGTAAAATACAGGGAATTATAAGGGGGGGGGGAAGAGAACCTGCATGCAAGATCGACCAAAGACGTGAATGGTGGGTCTGGTCCAAGGAATGTGATTGTCGAGGTAACTGAAGAATTCCCATGAGACATCGTATGCTAAAAACTTGGGAACGTAAACTACACTGCTTCCGTTTCCAAGATCAACAATTTGGGCCTTTTTACCATAGTCGTTAGGGTTAGGGTTAGGGTTCATTTTTAACTTAAAATCCATCAAACTCGTTGAAGCAGGTAGCCTTTAAACAGCAGAAATCTGGTAAAGCAGAAGCAGTGTAGTTTAAAGGGCGTGACACTTAAAATTTGTAAACTTGCGGCGTTTGTAAACACAAACGCCACTATAGTACAAGTGTATAGCGGCGTTTGAATAAAAATGCCACTAAAGTATGAGTCTTTAGCGGCGTTTTTATAAAAACGCCGCTAAAGTATGAGTCTTTAGCGGCGTTTGTATAAAAATGCCACTAAATTATGAGTCTTTAGCGGCGTTTGTAAACACAAACGCCACTATAGTACATGTGTATAACGACGTTTGTATAAAAATGCCACTAAATTACGAGTCTTTAGCGATGTTTGTATAAAAACGCTACTAAAGTACTACTCTTTTGCGGCGTTTGTTGAAAAAACGCCACTATCGATGAACCTATTGCGGCGTTTTTATAAAAACGCTGCTAAAGTTACCATTTTGTGGCGTTTTCTATGTAAACGCCGCTATATGTTTAAAATTAGTGGCGTTTACTCCTAAAACGCCACTAAAAATGCCGCTGTAGAACAATTTTGCTGTAGTGAAACATCAATGTTGACAACATATTCAGAAGCATTTAAGGAGACACCATTCTTACATAAATCTCAAGTGCTATTTGAGTTGTTATTATTGTTATTGTGGTCGTTGTTTATACTGCAAGTGCACTTCTGCGTGATTCATTAGAATCAATTCCTGAAACCTTGTTATCTGAAGGTCTCTAAAGGGGTAAACCACTGGAGCTTAAAAGTTCATTACAAATAACTAGAGTTGACACAATAGATGTACTCTCCAAAACCTTGGTTTATTTCTTCTTTTATTATCCACCATTATTATTTTTTAATATTTTGGGGTAAATACAAGGTAGTATTTTTTCAAAGATGACTCTCAACTACTCGCCATTGAACGCTCATATCTCTGGCATTGCTGGTGCTCAAACCCGAGACCTCGAGGAATAACAAAAGTTCATTTCACATGGGTTCATGCATTATCCACCATTAAAAAATTAATGGTGATGTTGATGTGATATTTTTAAATTATTTTTTCATTTTCCACTTAATTATTCTTGTATTATTTTTTTGACAAGACGAAGAAGGTTAAAATCTAACATGTACCCTTTTAAAAGATGATTGTTCTTATTTTGTACGAGTAGTTGAGTTTTTTATAAAATTTCTTGATGTTTTCTATTTAAAATTTAATGTATTTATTAGATAGTTTATTAAACGTAACAAAAAACTATTTTACAAGCAAATTTATTTAGTTTTGCTTGTTCTTATGATTCAATTTTTTTCCATTACTTATTATTAGAGGCCTAGTTTCTCTGTCCCCATGTCACTAAAACCTTGTAAACGGATCCGCTTAGATCCACTCATTTCATCATACATATACTAATTTCCCCTCTAGAATGGGACATGATGGGTGGTTCTATAGCTGAACTACCCTTGCCACCACCACAATTATCTTTTGTAGGGAAATAATTTGGATGATCAATGCATAAATGTGCACTCTCAACCTCAAGAGCACAAAAAATAGAATCTTTTCATCGAAGCCTTTGATTTCTCAATACATTTATTATATTCTCCCCAACGGAAGGCCTTCACCCTCTTAAACTTATACCATCCCTATAGTAAAAAGATGGAAAAGGTTTAATCAACAAAGTTAAGTGATGAGAACATATTTTAAGCACAATAAACTCTTTCCACTTGATGACGATCGTCGAAACAACATATTTCAATCTTTAAAGATGAAACATTACAAATATTTTTTTTATTTGATGGAAGGGGACTCAATTATTTTGAAATTAGAAGAAGCAAATATAACACTAACAGTACTTTACTCGTTAAATATTCGTTTTAGTGAAACTATAACAATTTTTTTTGTCAAACTCTATAATTAGGTTTGAACGCCTAAATGTATTAGGTTAGATCCCCTTCCTATTTTAGTAACAGAACATATTTTCTTTGAGTTGTATTCAATCAATCAGATGATAACACATACTATTACATGATTATTCGAATATTTATCTAAAAAATATTGAATGACCAAATTAAAAAAAAGTAATAATTTGTGACTATTAATGTAGTTTATCGAAAGTTTTTTTAGTAATGTAGAATGATTTCAAGGTAATTTCACTCATATAATTTAGGACACTTGTTGGGTCATATCTAGGGACGGGGCTGGACTAGTGTCTTATCCTATCGATACCGCCCGAAGAAGAATGATGATGACCTCCGGAGAAGCTGTCAAGTACAAGAGCTCACTGGACGCATTTTTTCAGATCATCAAGAATGAAGGTGCAAAATCACTGTTCAAGGGTGCCGGTGCCAATATTCTGCGAACTGTTGCGGGTGCTGGTGTGCTTGCATGCTACGACAAACTGCAAGTGCTTTTCTTCGGTAAGAAATATGGATCGGGCAGCGGCGTCGGCTAATGTTATATCGCATCATAGAGGAGGCTGATAATGTTTACCAGCATATAGGAAAATGGTTGTTGAATTTTGAGTGTTACATGCCCTTTTTTTGGAATAATGAAAATAATGCTCTGCTTTTCAAATGTCTTCAGAAAAACATAAACTTGGGTTGTTTCAGCAATGGACTTCGTCTTAAAAATAGAAAGAAAAATGAAGCCATGGATGTAATCTAAAATAATTTGCATTTTCTTTCTTTTTCCTTTTTGATAAGGCAATTAGTATTTGGTATGAAATAAGTTTATTGAAATTTATACAATTATACAATGAATACACAAGAATGTTGCCTACGGAGTGTTACAGTGTCAGTAGTGACGGTTTTAAATTTGCTTATGTTGTATCTCAAGTCATCTTCTGAAAATGGAACCAAGCAAAAGGTGGGGACTAGAATCTCTTCTCTTCACCTGAAATAATATGTAGAAAAGTGATTCGGATTAAACATATCAAGGGACAAACCAAAGTAGAACAAGATAGCAAACTCAGAAGAATTTACGAAAACGATATCTCGGAAAGGAAAGAAAGTTTCATGTTCAAAGTTCTGCAAGATTGTGTGTAGGCTTGAAAGAATACAAATCATCTCGAGTAGAAGTAAATACACTTCATCTCACAGGTCAAGGTTGGCATCAAGTCATTACCTCAACGATTAAGTGGGAGATTTTCTTAAGCTGTTGGTAATGAACGGCGGCAAGTTGGGCATTCCATCTTTATATCCATCCACCGTTGCAAACAACCAGAATGAAAGAAATGATCGCATGGCGTTACCTGTTAGAGAAATGTGGTTTAAATCGACTCCACAGTTCAAGAAAATGACCTCAATTAAAGATTAAAAAAGATACAACAGTACCATGCAATCTCTTGAACGTTTTGTAAGATCAATGGAAGTCATACAAATGACACAGTCTGTGGTATGATTTGTTTCTGCATCAAATCTTCTATAGTAGCTATATTTCTCAGGTAGTATCTGCAATCCAAAAATTCGAAGTAAAATCTTAATAACACTTGTGGAAAAACGAAAATAAAAAAAGGTCATACATGAAGAGTACAATAAAACTGCATCAGACCTGACGAGGAATAAACCATCGAGATCCAAGATAGTGCTGAAGAAGAAGAATGGAAGCTTGAAGTCCAATAAATACACCCAAACAGATACACCAGCTCTTGTCGGGCTCAATTCGCATGAAGTTGTGAGGGCATCCAAATATATATAATGGGATTGCTAGCCGAGTAATAGTCATGCCTAAGATGTAATGAGGATGCAAAGGTTTTCTCGAATCACGAATGACATTGGTGATTATTTGAGGTATCCAAAAGGAGTACAAAAGGAGAAGTATAGGCCGCAAAAAATTATGAAACTCGTACATGAACAAAATGCCTCCTAAAAGGATCCCATCTGCAAATATTTGGACTAGTTAGATCAGATTAATCTATCAACTTGACATAAATTTCATAATCTAAGAAAGTATCTGATTCCAGAAGCAATTCATAGGATATAGTATCATTGAAAAAGTAAAGACATTGGGCACTTGCCCTCCATTGATCATTTCTTTCACTATTTCTACAAGAATCACTTGTAAATGATATAATTTCCTTTTAGTATTCGGCACCAAAAATCCACTTTAGACTTTCTAGCAGCCATTTCCTATGTCGACCAATGAATGTGGATCGTAGCCGATTAAGTTTGCAAGAGAAAGAGACAAGAATTACTTTTCTATACTCTATACATCCCTTTCGGCAAATCATATATATGTACAATAAATTTCTATCCAAAAATGTAAAAAGCTTTTCTGGAACTTACAGAAACGGCTATATAGGACTGATAGCTCACGCCTCATTGTCTCCCAACCCTCACCATTATTCATAGGCCTACTTGCTTTCCATATTGCGAGAAGGTACCTCATCTCAAAAATGGAGAAGACTACAAACTTGAAGAATGCCGCAGTTGCAAAAGCATTAAATAAGGATTCTGTATAAAGAAATGCAACATGAACTTAGTAAGACATAGACCTTTGAAAGGAGCAGGGTTTCAATAAAGAAAAAGAAAGGAACATGGTAATAGAAGAGATTCACTGTTCTAGGTTAAGCCATCAGCCTACTATCAGGGTGCAGTGCAGATTCAATCTGCAGTTTCAAATGAAACCATTCACATTTGATACCGGACAAGACTTGCCCACAAGTAAAAAGAATAATCTTTGAAATTCCTAGCAATCATTTTTAAACTGTGAACTATATAGTGCTCATGGTCTCCATCGAGGCCAATGCAAAGATAATTCATAGAGTTCTAGTCTTGGATCCCCATTCTGGTTGCAAATAGAACACCACTTGAGGGAATTCATGTAATTAAAAAGGAAAACTTGACAGAGAACTCGTGTTCTTTATGTATTTATACTATTGCAAAGATAAGGCAGATAGTTAATTAATACTGACCAACCAGTATTCCAGCAGTGAGATGTAAGAGGCAAAGATAAGCATCCATGATGGCTTGTTGACCAATTGTTAAAATTGAAATTTTCGCAGCTCCCTGATAAATAAGAAAAAAATGCTTTTATTAATCATTATGAAGTAAGCTACAGATTAATGCTATGCCAGAATATAGCATCCATACAAAATAAAATTGTTCCGTTGTCCTTTAGAATATATATACTTCAAATTCTTACCGATTGGGTGTTGCTATGTTCCATTTGTCTAATTAACAGAAGGACTTGAAGGAAAGAGACCTGATAATAAACAATTAAGTAATACAGGCAAAACAGGCCAGTGATATAGCATTGACAAGGGACAATATATAAAGGATACACAGGTGACCATTAAGGTGTAGTTAACTGCTTTATTGTAATAGACTTCAATGTTGACAGAAGTCACATTTAATAGTAAAGGTGAGAAACAATCTCCATCATCATCCACTGTAGGACTCTCCATCAATCCTTCGATGTGATAACGATCATGATCTCCATCTATAAAAGGTCAAAAAGCTTTGGAATTTTATTACTTATAATGTCAATGTAGATAGTACTATCTCTTTCCAATAGCTATTTCTGATCAATGCAAGAACTATCTGGTAAGTTGCTACCAGTCCATATACATTCCAATGAGATTTTAAGATTTGTTTTACTTAAAAAGATGAACGGGAGTAGCTAGATAAATAAAAGATCACTTCCCAAAACTAATGGACCTTTCTTAAATTAAATCATTACCAGTCCTTAGACCCAAACTCAATCCAAATAGGAAGGGAACCCAATTTTTTGCAGTGACAAATCTATGAAGAATAAGTCAATATTTCTTCTTCAATTGCTTACTTGAATAGATTTTGGTAAAAAATTCCCATACGTTGGTCAAGAAATAGACCAGAGAAGAATGTAATAGTATAAGAACAGGATGAGGCATGATGAATGATATAAGGAGTTGAGCTGACTCAGGTACCATTTTGGCTTGATGAGATGCGCGATATTTGGGCATCAATTTCTATATCGCAATGTTTCTCCATCTTATAAATTGGTGCTGCCATAAAAGAAAACAACATTCACTTTATTGCAAACATAACTTGAGCTTAACCCAAGCAAAATAATTATAACATACAATTTTTTCTTCTCCACATTTTGTCACGTGGAGAATCTTGGAACACTTGAGATGAGAAAACTCCAAGCTGTTCAAGGAGTAAGGCCATTGCAAGTTAGTAATCACAATCACCATAAATAAACATTCATAAAAAAAGACAACTGTGTCTGAAAAACACAACACTAATTCAAACGTTAACTAAAAACAACATATGGACGTAGACATCCAGAGCCAGCTGCAAATTTGCAAAATACATAGCTACAAATACATACTCAAAATCTTGCAAGACCCCAGAAAACTCAGGAATAAGTGAAAAATGAAAGGAAATTATCTCTTTCAACTAATAGCAACTTTGTTTAAGTTAAAAACCAAAAATCTAATACATAGGCATCGGCCAGACATTCAGATTAAGACCATTACTTTAAAGAAAGACTTTTGCGGACAAAAGCAAGAAACTAGCAGAGCATTATACGTAGCAATTCTGATTCAGAATCCAATTTCAAAGTCCATATGGTGCATAATCAACGTTAAATGCAAGTGCCAACAACCTCAACCTAGTTGCAAGATTCTTGCATTGTGTTCATGAGATCTTGGGTTCTATCCCTAGCATCCCCACCCCATTCCCCCAATTATAAAAAATAAATAAATAAATGCTCGAGAACCACAAATGGGTATGATATGAAGCATTACCAAATGGTACGGGTTAGATAAAATATAGTCTTCTTCCTGACTGAGCTCTCCCTCCTTTCCACTGCAATAGTGTGCCAGTAGAATATGTCAGAGTTGAAATGCAATGAGCATTTACAAAATGTCATCTTAAAAGAGCACATGAATGGAAGTGAGAAAGTTAAAAACTATATTGCAATTGCCTTTTTGCATGGGGGTAATTGGTTTGGTTTGAATTCTGACCCCTCCCCCCCTTCCCACTTCTCCCAAAAGTTTCCCAAGTCAAATAGTATCACTAAAAAGTAGGTAATGATGGTTTGGAATACTTTTATCTGCACCCTTTGTTGCTGTTGGTCAACTAATATGCATTTCTTTGTCAAACAATATCCAATCAAGCTAAAAGAGCTTTTAATGAGCAATCAACATAGTCAAGATTTACCTGTTAGCTACCATTCGAAGCTGTCTAAAAGGCCATATATATAAACCCTCTACCCTTATTTGAGAACCACCAACATTTTGGTTGTTATCAAACACATCATGGAAAATAATTACACCCTGTTATGATCACCACAAACCAGAAACAAAGTCAGACAATAATTAAAAATGGTATGATACAGCCTACAGTAGTTAGAAGAAATAGTCTTTATAAAGAGCTTACTACAAAGAATGAAATATATATGATTAGGCAAAAAACTAAAGAGTATGTAAGAAAACCAAACTCAATAAGATAGCCAGTCTATCATGAGTGTCATGGAATTCCTTATCACCAACAAACAAATCCTGTCTTCAGGCCAACTATGAAAGAACATATGTATATCTTGCATCTAAAACATGGTTCAATTGTTCTAACAAGTTCACTAAACAAGCAAAATAAGTGAATTTTCTTAATATGATCAAGAACCCCCTCACCTGAACATAATGTACACCAGTTATTTTGGTTGGTGTGCTAACTAATTCAATGACTGAATCACCAGCCGATTTCCTGAAATCTGGAAATTCGGAAGAGCTATTCATAGACTCCATAAATTTCCAATTTCCTGCAATTTCCAAGTCATTTCAACAAAAAAACGTCAACACAAATAAACTTGCTTAATGATTCCAATGATTGAATTTGATCCATTCAATTACAGTGATGAACCAAAAATATCAGAAAATTACATTTTAGAAGCTAGACAATTTACTGTTTTCCCTCCTAAATAAGTTGTCTTCTTTTCTTTTTTAATATCAGAACCTGTTCTAGGCTAAAACAACTTCTGATCCACAAGCCAATATACCATCCAAATACAACCGTCTTTACATCCAGAACAAAACAGCATCTATTTTGGTCAAAAAATTTGCATTTCTGTTTTAATTTGAGTGTTCACGGAGTGTGGGTTTTGAGCCTTTGGCAAAAGATATATTTACCAATATTTTCCAGGAAATTCATTGTCCAATCATGAACAACCCAAGTGATAAAATAAAAAAATAAAACACAAAGTGTAGGGAAATATAGAGAAGATGCTGGGAAAACAACACAAGCAATCAACCACAAAACCGCATGCTACATCAGCTATATGCAATATGATCCAGAAAAATACCCCTATGCATCAACTCCAATATGCATATGACAGAATTTGAGAAAATTTACTCACCTCGATAAGTTCCTGTTATGTTCCATGCATGAAATGGACCCAATTCACTTTCATCTTTTCTAACAAATAACCACTGCAGGATACATCAAGAGTATTAGTAAACTTATAGCACCCAAATGAAGAGCGGAAGGGGTGAAAAACACATGGAAAATGCAAACAACAGCAGAAGACCCAATCTACCTTTTTCTTACTAGTTTGCATCAGACAATCAACAAACAAAATCTTTGTCGAACAAATACGTGATATATCTAAACTAAACAAATCTTTGAAAAAAGGGGGGCTTTAGATCAAGGCAATGATGATTTTCAATAACATAAAAAGGATCATACAACCCAAGTACCATTGCTATTTAGCTCTCCATTATGAAAATCTACTTATCAAATATCAACATAGCCTAATTTCCAGTTTCAACCACATATGTTCTCTGAGCAACATTGCTAAATTCCATCATCAAACTTGACATTGCCCAATGCCCATTTCCATTTTGCAGCATTTCATTATACAAGACAATAACTCGTAAAAACCTATGAAACTTCAATGAGTAAAGCACTAACTCGGGAAAAAATGAAATTAAAAAACAAATTTGACAAAAATCAGAAGCACAATAACCAATTATAACTATGAAATTGACATCCAGAAACAAAACCCAAATTTTCATCTTCGCTTAAGGGGAAAAAGAATCAAATTTAACAATGATTAACATCAATAAAGTCTGGAATTAAGAAGCACCAACCTCATCGCCCCATGACATAGCCCTCTCCCTTATTGGTCTCAATCCCGCCACCGGCTTTAATATAATAAAACAAAACCATAATCCAAAAACAACCCTGAACACAAACCCTAATCTTCTCTTCCTCGAAATCCACAAAAAATCCAAATATTCCCTGGTGATCATATCAAAACCCCAACATCCCATTTCAATAAAAAAACAATACTAATTGTGCTTTCTCTTCTAAAAAATAGAAAAGAAACAAAGCACCCAACTTCAATTTCCCAGAAAGAAAGAAAATATGTCCAGAAACTGATTTAGATGATAGATTATCCACTGCACATTAAGGAGGAAGCTAATAAAAGAGATTGCTTAAAGTAGAGTTATGTGAACCAACAAACAACCAAAGATCAAACAGTAGAAAACGAGAGCTCAACAAACTAATCCTCTCTCCCCCCTTCCCCTTCCAGTGTATATAAAATCAAATTCTTTTAAAATTGGTTTAATATAAGCAGACAACATAAATAAACCCCAGAAAAGAACTTTCACCAGAAACAAATTTGGACCCGGTGACACAAACAACAAACCTATACAGAAATATCAGAAAATACGTGAAGATTGCATGAGAACAATTTTAATCTAAAAATGGTTTGGCAAAGTGGAGGGTTGTTGTTGACATGTTTGCTTGAGTTTTGGTAATTAAAAGTCGAGAAAGTGAGTCTCCGCCCTCTAGGTTTTAGTTGCTTCCGTTACGCGCGCTGTAGCGGGTTGGAGATACGTACCAATGAAGGGGAGTCAACTATGTGGTATTCGTCTTCACCTATTTTTGGTGTATTAACTAATACTATTATTTTAATCTTTATTAGATAGAGGATGAGACATGAGAACAACTATCAGATTTTATTCGTTTCTATTAAAATGTTTTATATGTACGAAAATTAGAATATTAGGTAAAATAATATTTAATCCTTAAATTTAATAATTTCTTAATTAATTTCTAGTTTTTTTCATTCACATTAATATTAAAATTTAAATTTTATATATTTTAATGAAATAAAGTATATTTAAGAGGTTAAGTCATCTAAATGACTAAAATTAGAAAAGTTATAAGAACTAACATGGATTAAAAAAGTTAAGAATCGACTTAAAAAGATTTGTTAAAAGGTAAATACTAAATGGTGTTTTATCTCTAAAATATTTTGTGGAATATAAACTAATCGTTAAAATTATTTTTTAATATAAAATCATAAATCATTGAATTATATTAACATGATCAATTTAATCATCAATTTTTAATATTATTTTATGATAATTTAATAAATTTATTTATTATTTTATAATAAATCGATAATTTTAATGTATTTAATAATTGTTTAAAACTTTTATTACATATTTTATAACATTAAAAATTTTGTTGATAAAAAAATATTATTAAATCTTTTCCTTTTGACAATTGGTTCACCCTGAAAAAACGTTATGAAATGGAGATTTGAATTAATATCCCAACCATTAAAGTGGAAAATATCTAAATTTTGTAAACAAATTTAATTCGATATCTATCTTCTATTGTACTTTTAAAAAAGAACTTAATATAAAAATAAGTATCCAAATTATACTCAAAATTAATTTTAGGTATTTAAAGAATTTTTCGTTAAAAATAGGTGTATAACGTTTTTAACGTTACACTTTTAGGTGTATGTAAATTTGGTCGTTTAAGTGACATGTGTCGCTCTCATCTTTATTTTATTTTTTGAAGTTTTTATTTTATAAAAAATAAAAATATATATATATTAATTCTAAACAAATCCAATTTTTTCTAAAATTACAAAATATATCCTAAAACCCCACATTCCAATCCCACACCATTTGTTGTCGGTAATCACTGTTTACTTTCGTCATCGTCCAGCGATCACTCACTCGTCGCATGACCTCCACTGTCAACCATCCTTCTTGTCGTCGTCCTATTCTTCTAAATTCATAAATCCCTAAACTTAAATCCTTAACCCCTAATCCCAACTCTCAATACCATCATCGGCCAAGTCATCGATGTGGATGTCGAACTATCATACACCGATTGTTATCTACCCACTGACCGGTCATCACCCCAATCTTCTAAATCACTAAATCTAATTCCCTTTCGTCACCTCATGCTTGTCATCGCCCGTTACCCTGCATTTTATCCTTTGTAAATTTCAAATCACCTGTGATTTGACGAGGAAAAAAAATCTCCCACTGCAATCTTGTAATTATTATTAATTTTTATCATTTTCTCCGCATTTTGTATATGAAAATTCCCACTGTAATTTTGTAAGTATAATTTAGATGGTAACCAAAGTCCAAACAGTCATTGCACCACAGCACTAGCACCAAACGGCTGTCTTTGACCGCTAAGGTCACTGGATTAACGACAATGGTTGCGACGGGACTGGCCGGCAAGGAAGATCGATAAGTTTCAGGATTTATAAAATTTAAGGGGATATATGATATTTTAGAAATTTTATGGGTTTTAATATTTTTAGAAAATTTTAGGGTATTCTTTTAAAAAGTGATAATATTTTTATTTTTTTTATAATTTTTTTAATTTTATAAACTTGACACTTGTCAAATAAGGACTGAAATTAACTATCGTGACGAATCATACACCTAAAAATATAACAGATAAAACGTTAGGCGCCTAAAAGTATAACGGAGAAAAAAATTAAACATCTATTTTTAATAAAAAATTCTTTAAGCACCTAAAGTTAACGTTAGACATAATTTGGACACTTATTTTTATATTAATCATTTTAAAAAATTAAAATCAAATGTAGCTTGAGACCGTAAAGAAGTTACAATTAGTGTAATTATTGACTAATAATTACGTTATCGTTAAATTAAATCATTTTGATTCTTTTACATATTAACTTAATAGGATTTATTAATTTATATTTTATAAAAAATAAAATATAACGTACAAGTTAAGTGTGTAATCCCTCAAAATTCTCAATACAAAAGAATGTAATTGAGGTGCTTTAAACATTTCCCAACTGGCGCTGGAATCTGTCTAGTACCGGTACGGTCAAATCCGTCTTCAATATTCTTCAAAAAGAAGATTGGGACACGCAAAATAAAGATTAGAATTTGGTTTGGGATTTTGATGGGCCTCAACGAGTTAGACAATTCATTTGCTTGTGCTTTGCCAACGTATAATGACTAATGTGGAACATATGAGGCGGGGGGTTTCATCCGATCAACGTTGTCCGATGTGTGGTACCGGGGATGAAAATATAGTCCGTGTTCTTAGGGACTGTCATCATGATCGACTGATCTGGATGCACTTAATCCCGACACCTTTGCACACGGTATTTTTCTCTTCTCTTTAATGGACTGGTTGCGATCTAATCTTGTCAATAATGCAGGTCTTGATCGTATTGAGTACTCTTGGAGACATCTTTTAGGTGTCCTCGTATGGAAGTTATGGAAACACCGGAACAACTTTGTCTTCAATGGGCAGATATGGTCTTGCATGGAAATCACTCAGGCGGCTAAATCTTGGGCTAGCTTCATAAAAACCAATCAACAAAACTCTTCAACCTGTAGCGGTGCAGGCAGCAATGGAATTCGATGGAAACCACCTTGTGCAGGAACCTTCAAACTTAACACCGATGGTGCTGTTTCTCCCATGACGATGAAGGCTTCCAGTGGAGGAGCTATTCCAGACAATAAAGGAAACTGGGTTACAGGCTATATCAGGAACATTGTTTGCTGTTCAATTATTTATGCCGAGTTATGAAGCGTGCTCGATGGGCTAGAAATTGCTTGGAACCGCGGTATTCATTAAATGGAGTGGAGCTGGATAATATGGAAGCTGTGCGAAGCCTGAACTCCCCCCTCAAGCTAACGAGTCAGCAATTATCAGAAGGATCCGAAGAATGCTTAGTCGGAAGTCTGACATCGATATTGTTGTTATATTTTTCTAGCGTTATGTTGATGATTTTGTTCGCAATATTAAGGGCAGAGCGATGACCTACATATAAATAATCCTTCGAGAGATTAGATTGACGTCGAGAAAACATGGACGATCTGTTGACTAGCACCGAAAGGTGCATAAATTAATGCACCGAAAGGTGCATGGCCCTTTTGTTAAAAATGTAAAATAGGATAATTCAATTTAGTCACTAAATTTTAGGGTATTTATAAATTAGTCCTTAGGCTTCAACTATAAATACCCTAGCTCATTTAGCTTCAAAACAATCACAAATCATTCTAGCTTTCTTCCAATACTAGAGAGAATTTAGAGAGTTTTTTTAGAGTTGTTTTCTCTTTTTTATCAAGAGAGAATTATCATTATTTTCTCCTTGTTAGATCGAGAGAAGTTGTAATTCCTATTTTCTCATAGTGAAATTCTTCTACCGTTGCTCGTGATTTTTACCCTATATAATTTAGGTGTTTTCCACGTAAATTTTGTGTCTCTTTTATCTTCATATTTTATTTTCTCAAATTATCAATTACGATTTTGCTCTATTCGATAGCCGTTTTCCACAACAATTGGTATCCGAGCCAGATTTGAGTGTGTAATATCTGTTTATTGTCTTTGTGGTTGCCACCAAAAGGTGGATCCTCCAACATAAGAAAGTAAGAAGGTATTACACATTCTTTGAAGGTTCCAGAGAACTATTCACGATAGTAAAATAGTGGGAGTTATCTGTAATAGAAGTTATGGCAACGAAATTTGATATTGAAAAATTCAATGGGAGAAATTTCTCATTGTGGAAATTGAAGATGAAGGTCATCCTGAGGAAATACGGTTGTCTAGCAGCTATCAGTGAAAGGCCGGTAGATTTCATAGATGACAACAAATGGATCGAAATGGACGGGAATGTTATGGCAAACTTTCATCTAGCATTAGCAGATGAAGTATTGTCAAGCATCGAGGAGGAGAAGACAGTTAAGGAGATATGTGATCATCTCACCAAATTGTACGAGGCCATATCGTTGCACAATAAAATTTTCCTTAAGAGGAAATTGTACACTCTTCGGATGCCAGAATCTACTTCAGTGATGGAGCACTTAAACACGCTGAACACTTTATTTTCTCAGCTTACATCCTTAAGATATACAATAGGAGAACAAGAACGTGCTGAACTTCTACTTCAAAGTCTACATGATTCATATGATCAACTCATCATCAACTTGACAAACAGTAATGTCACCAGCTTAGTCTTCGATGACGTTGCAGCTGTTGTTCTACGAGAATAAAATTGGCGCAAGAACAAAGAAGACAGACAAGTAAATATGCAACAAGTAGAAGCATTGACAACGATGAGAGAGAGGTCGACAGAACGTGGCCAAAGCAGCAGTCACATACAAGGTAGATCGAAGTTGATGAGCAAGAAGAATTTAAAGTGCTACAATTGTTGAAAAAATGTTCACTTGAAGAAGGATTGTTGGAGTCTAAATAAAAACTCCAATCCACAAGGCAATACCGCAAGCACTTCAGATGATGGAGATGCTCTATGCTGTGAAGCGTCAACCACCGTAGAAGGTAGAAAAAGATTTGCAGATATATGCTCATTGATTCGGGAGCAACATATCACATGACCTCAAGAATTTCCATCATTATGAACCTGTCTCAGGAGGATCCGTGTATAGTTGCAATGATCATGCCTTAGAGATCGTTGGTGT